GCCATATTATGTAGCTTTTTATTTTTTATTGTATGTGTCTACAAAATACTATGTAATAATATACAGTCTTTAGATTTAAAAATGCATCTATTAAATCCCATTTGTTTGGGAATTAACAATTTTAAGGACTAGTAAACTGACTCTTCCTTACACACCTGATAATTTTGTCCCAGAAGTCAGTTGTTATTTCATATTTACTATATTTACTATATTATATTTATATTTACATAACCTTAATAAACCCATGAGTTAAGTTTATTTATAGCACTTATTTCTTTTCATAATCAGGATTTTCTGATACTAAAGAAAGTTTAGTTGTAATCTCAGGGTATATATACAACTATATCTCAGGGTGTATAATTTCCGGGTCTGTTGCCCCAATTTTCTGACTGATAATGGCGACTGCCCAACGTAAGTGAATGAAAGTAAGAAAAACATTAATATATATCACTTAAAATTTCTCAACGTATCTCTGTACAATGTATCTGAACCCACATTTATAGGTTATAATACCTATTTACTATTTCATATTATATGAGTGACGAGGTTATGTTATTAACCCTTAATAGTGAATTTGTTCGATAATTTATCATACTTGTTAACAAATGGGCACAGTGAATCTGATTTTGTTATTTAATAAATGTTTTAACTTTATTTATTTTATATACACGTGCACCTACCTCGAACAATCGGATTTTTGTTTACCTTTGATCGGTTGGCTCCATTTTGAATATCTTCCTTTCCCAAGTACATAATCAAATTATTACTACGCAGATACGTAATAAATTTATTTGTAGTAGGTTTTGGATACAAAATATTTGATTTTACACTAAACATATTTAATTTTTACAACAAAAATTATAAAAACACACCGTGATGGCTGGCACAAAGAAACGTAATGAAGTTGCATTGACGGACGGGTTGATACAGTGTTGCAATATCTATGACAAGGAGGGAGTATAATTACATCAAAGTGATCTTTCCAGAAATATTGCCTAGTTTTTGTAGAAAATGACTTCGGGTCTCTTCTTGTCAGATTTAATCAAGTATTTCTCATATTTAAAACAGTTAATATTTAAATCAGCACTTGAATCCATAACTTCTCCGGTGTTCTTATGTTCGTATTTTTCAGTTAGGCACAACAAACTAATTACAATTATTGATGATGTAATTATTGATAATTATGGATATTTAATAATATATATTATTAAACATCCAAAAATAACTTATTCCTTTGTATAATCGTTTTATTTACATATGCAGTGACGTCACAAGCTGAATAGCATGGTGGTTAGCGTTTACGCGCCAAAATTTAAAACGACAAAAAATTAAAATAAACTTTATGGCACTATTCGGTTTTAAAATATTTATATAAAAATATAGTAGTTTATTATCATCGACGGCGAGAAAAGATTCTTGAGTGGTAGGAGTGGTAGCCTGGTAAGACATGCAGAAAGTCGATGGATGCGGATGGCTCAGGACCGCGTTTTGTGGCATTCCTTCGGGGAGACCTATGTTCAGCAGTACTTGCAAAAGGCTGTAATGATGATGGCGATGACTATTATACTCACTTAGTAAGTGAGTAGTAGTATAAGTGATAGAATACAACCCCATTATACTCACTTAGTAAGTGAGTATAATAGGGTCATCATTAGTTCATCTTTTCTAGTTCTTCAACTGTATCATTTGTCTAGTTGTCGTAAGCGAGATTTCTGACCGTGAGGTTCTAGATTTGAATGCCTTGTTGGTCCAAATCAGTCATTTTGTTTTTCTATCAAGAAATTCGCAGTAGCAGCCCGGAATCAAAAAGTTGGCGATGTTTCACTATCGAGCCTCGGAAAGCACCTAAAGCCGTTGGTCCTGCCCTTGATATCTCTCCAGTAGTATCGAATTACCGACCCATCGGACGATGAGAGCGAGGAATAAAGAGTGCTTGCGCATGAACTTGCCGAAATTCGGTCTGGAGGAAATTATATGATAGGAGTCACACTCTGCCTAAAAGTCCATTTAGGTGGATACCACCCTCTAACCTATTTTTGATTCCACTTGTTTTGCTTACACGCGATTGCACATCTGTGTGCCGGTAAAAAAAATTATAGAGAGAAAATGTAATTACAGACAGCGAGGTATTTCATATTAGTCCCCAGGTGTGAATACGCGTCGTTTTCCTTGTTTAAAGTTAGTTGCAGGATTATCTGGGCCAGGGAAGCCATATAGGGGAGACCGGGGTTGGTTGACTATAGGGGTAGGTTGACTAACTAGCAAAAACTCGTCCAACGCAATAGCCTTGAGCTAACCAGTGAGATACGAACGTTCGGCACCTCCCCCCGCTAAATCACCGGGAACGAGGCGTAGCGCACGCACGTCGTTTGAGAAAAAGAAAGTATCGTTGAAAAACAACTCACGTAAGTAATTATTTTTGTTGTAATGTTACTTGTAATAATGCCTATTTATTAATGGTTATTGTTTGTCAAAGCATTTATAACGAATGTTTGATCCATGTTCTTTCTATTATGTGCTATTCTATTTGATTTCGTCGCAGTTTTGATGTTATGGCACATGCTTAAAAATTAAAAGGTGGTTTGGGGCTAGTAGACTAATGTATAACGGGGCTGGATGACCACCTTGTCGACCAGCCCCATCATGTTATGGAAATTCCACACATAAAATGAAGTCAATATTTTTGAAATTGTATTGCTACAGCGTATAAAACACTACAAAGCCACGTCGTAAATATGGAACTGAAAGCTGGACCACGTTTAGAAAATAAAGGAAATATCCGAAAAAGAAAGAGCACTATTTACACAGACACACCAGAAAAAGAAAATCTTATGCAACAAGGCAAAACAACTATCCAGTAA